GCAGAGCCTCTCCTATTTTCCCCCCATACTCTCTCGGAACAGCAGCGCCCGCTCCGATCGATACCCTATGTTCTCTTCGTCTATGGCTGCAGTAGCGTTTTGAGCGGCCATCGCGAACTTCGAACGTTGGCCCAAGAGCGCGTCCATACTTTGCGCTCTACGATTTGAGTGTGCGACAGAGTCTTTGAGTGTTCTGGGCTATATCGATACCTATACATTTCTGGCCGCTCAAAACCCTACTGTACGCTCACGCCGACGCAAATGTGAACGCACTCTAACGGGCGCTTGCCTCACAGTTTCGACGTGGAGAGCCGCATGCTTTGTGAGGCGTACTGCAGGATTATTTGCGCATTTCCACCTGAAGTGCGAACTCACTTGTCCTTTGGTCGAAAAGATTGCATTTATCGTAGGCAGGAGAGTAGACGTGCAGACTGACAGCGTTTTCCGAGTGACTTGGATTTTCCATCCGATGGAAGGCCAAGCTGATCTGAAATCCCATGTATAACTTTAGAATATGTAAGGATTCAATCCAAAGGAGTTTTGAGGTCGGAGTTGGAACAACGAGACCAGTCTGAGCCCTGAAGAAAAGAAGAGCAGATTGCTAGAATCAGCCTTTCTTACCGCTCATATAAGTGACTTCGTTCACCGCTGCATACGATTCACCAGTTTTTACAAGCGGCACTCCAGTAGTGTTTTCTTCAGGAAAAGCAAACCTGAAAAGGAACCCAGTTGATTGCTATTTCTTTGAGAGCGCATTCCACGCTCGCTCTATGTGTGGGCCTTGTGCCATCTCCATCGATGCGCCGCGCTTCCTAAATATAGGACGATAAAGCAGAAGATACAGGGCACGCCCCGGCGTTGGAAGAATTTGGCAGGATACGATCCTCCCCGATTTTCTGACCCCCTTCTACGACCGAACAATCATTTTAGGCAAACTTTTCCACAAGTTCGCCTCAGGCTCAAGGCCAGATGTGACCCCCTACCCTTTTCGATCACATAGGACCCGCTCTGAAGATTCCCAATGTACGACGTGCCCTGGCAGGAAGAAGACACCAGATCAAGCTCCGCCCATACGGTTAACGTGGAACATGCCTCCAACATCTTTGTTACGACACCGTACAAAGAGTTACGGTGGAGGATGATGAATAGCGGTATCCGCATAACCGCTGGAGGCGGTTCAGTGGCAAGCGGTGACTCTGTCACTAACACGAAGATCCATGATCAGATCCCATCCGGATTTCCGATTCACTCTCATTTTCGAAATATTCTAAAGGCGAATTGCACGTTGATCACATGTGTGGAGCCGATTCTGCTACTGTGTTTTCCTTAATGCCGCCCCCCCCCCATCTTTCTATAGAGAACAATGCTGCGCTTACGAGTAAGGTGCAACTGTCGGCCCAACCCCTCCCACATGATTAGCCTGGAATGTACTTTTGAATGATACCAGGACTGTTCTGCGGAATTAGGAACAGTCTTGTTCGCAGGGCACATCGTTGTTGGGGAATCCCCAATAGGGGGGTCGTATTTGGTCGCCAGGAGGGGGGGGTCGTATTTGGGCTGAGAAAAATTTATTTTGATAGTTGATTTTTCTCGCTTCATGGACGTTGTAAAGGGGGGGGGTCGTACTTGGTCATTTTTGGGAGGGGGGTCGTATTTACGTTTTGGCGTTGTGGGAGAGTTGGCGGTTGACTTTTGTGGTTTCTCACGCTCGACGGCTCGATTCGATATAAATTAAGGAAGGACACGAGGGCGGGGGGGGGGGATCGTGCCTAACTGCCCAAAAAGGGGGGGGATAGAGTCGACTAAAATCCCCAACCAATGATGTGCCCTGCTTGTCCGTTGCGCTGCGGGTGATGGAACACGTCATTGCGGCTGCGTATGGCGCCTGTTAGCCTGTTCTCCACCAGTTGTTGAAGTCAACAACCGGTGGAAAACGACAGATATGAACAATATGATACAGTCTTGCAGCTTGCCGAAAAAAAAGAAAAAACGAGCTGGCGCTGCGCCGAATCGATTCCCCCCATCGTCTGCAGGGAACAAAACCGTGCGTCTGAATAGCGCTTGACATCCACAGTCAATGTATGTGCCAAGAAGGCCTCAGAACAATCTAACAATTCTAGATGGCATCCCGGTACGTGGCGGACACCACTCCTTTTTTTGTAGATCTTTCTTTTGCACTGTGAACGTGGGAAATGTTGATCTCACCGTGTTTCCTTGAGTTGTCCTTCGAGCATTTTCACGAAACAATGGGAACCAGAATGATCGTGGATACTAAAACAGGGTGATTCGTACGTTGACAAGCACACTTGCTTTGATCGAATTGAATCATCACCCACTTCGTGCACATTCCTGGTCCCCAACAAAGAACGATCATATTGTACTTTCCATTGCCGGTATCGACAAGATTTCGTGTGTAACTGGAAAGGCAGAAAATAAAAAAATTTTCAGATCAATATTTGCGGGAAAAAGCTCTTATTCAGCAGCTAGGAGTCCCTAGGAGTTCCTTAACTGCGCAGGAGCTCATTTGGGGGCTTTGAGAAACTTGGGAAACATGGAAAATTAAACCTCCGCCAAATTCTGGTTTATTCCGCAAATCACTATGCAAGCTTGCGATTTCTCATTTCCCTTCCAACAATTTCTCCTTCTGAGATCTGAATCAGGAAAGTAGGAACAAGTTTACTCACATTGCGCACAAGCAATGCTGACTTGCTACCTAATGGGCGGAGAACACCTCAAGGGGGAGGAGTTGGTGCACTGCCAGCTTACAGAGCTAGCTGAGATGTTAGCAAGCCTGATATGGCTCGTGTAAAAGGAACGGTCTAGTTGAAGCGTGACTCAGAGCACATGGATGTTGTTTTGCCATTATTGGGCTAGGCTGTAACCTTGCCAGGGTGGATACAAGTAGTCCTGTGCGCGGTGAAAGATAGCCCCATAGGCCACGAATTAAAAGACGAATCCGATGCGGTTTGGCGACTGGGGGTTTGCACTTTTGCTACTTCCCATCGACGTGTCGACCCATCTAGAGAGCCATTTGTGAGCTTACAAGAGTTGACAGGTTTTACCATGGTGGCTAGACGAGCTTGCTCCAGCTTCACAAGAGTTCACAGGTTTCACCAGAGTGAGACTTGTAAACCGGAACTAGTGAAGCAACGAAAGTGCAAAATGCCCCCCCCTCCACCCCCTGTCGGCGAACTGCGCGACGAATCCCCTAAAGGACTGGTATGCCTATCGAAAATGCTGGAGTTTTCAAAAGCAGCGAGAAAATAGAAAGGAATTGCAAGGAGAGTCAGAAATTTAGGGACAGCTACTCAAAGACACAGTCCACCATTATCGCATAAGTGGGAACAATCCACCATGGTGCCTTCCACATTGTACATTGGAGAGCTTCCCGTCTAAGGCGATATAAGCCGCCATTGTGAGGAAGGTACTAAAATTAACTGTTCCCGCCCACGTGACCA